TCTTACAGTTAGGAAGTTTTTCCTGAGAGTTAATCTAAATCTGCTATGCCTCTTGTCCTGCCCTCTGTGGCAAAAGAGAACAACTTTTCTCCCTCTTTTTTATGGCAGCCTTTAAAGTATTTGAAGACGACTATCATGTCCCCTCCCTTTATCTCCTCTTTTCCAAGCTAAACATACCTCCTTCAGCCTTTGCTCATATGACTTGCATTTCAGCCCTTTGATCATCTTTGTCACTCACCTCTGGATCCTTTCCAGTTTCTCCACATCGTTTCAGTACATTGGTGACCAAAACCAGATGCAGCGCTCCAGCTGAGGCCCAACCAATGCCGAGTAAAGCGGTATTATCACCTCCTCTGACTTGCATGCTATGTCTCTGTTAATGTGACATAAAATTGCATTTGTTTCTTTTGCAACAGCATCACATTGCTGAGGCTGTCTACACTACCACTTATGTCAGTATAACTTTGTCATTCGGGGGTGTGAAAAAAAATCCCCCTGAGTGACGTAAGTTACACTGACATAAGCGCTGGTGTGGACAGCGCTATGTCGGCAGGAGCGCTTTTCCCATCAACATCGCTACCGCTGCTCATTGGGGGTGGATTGGGAGCTCTCTCCCATCATCTTAGAGCTACTACACTAGACAGCTGAGAATGGTGCAGTTGCATTGGTACAGCTGCACTGCTATAAGCTCTCTAATATAGACATAGCCTGACTCGTATTGAGGTTGTGATCCACCACAACTCTCAGATCCTTCTCTGCAGTGCTGCTGCCAAGCCAGTTATCCCCCATTCTGTATTTGTGCATTTGGCTTTTCTTCCCTAAATGTAACACCTTACATTTGTCTTTGTTTAATTTCATTTTGTTGGCTATAGCCCAGTTCTCCAATTTATCAAGATTCCTCTGAATTCTAGCTCTATCCTCCAAAGCATTTTCAAGCCCTCTCCCCAGCTTTGTGTCATCTGCAGATTTAATAAGGAAGCTCTCTATTCCTACATCCAGGTCATTAATAAAAATGTTAAACAACACTGGACCCAGAATGTATCCCTGTGGAACCCCACTTGAGACTTTCTTCCAATCTGACACCTTTCCATTAATAGTTACTCATTGTTTGCAGTTGTTTAGCCATTTATGTATCCACTTAATGGTAGTTCCACCAAGCCCAAATTTCTCCAGCCTACTTATCAGAATGTCTTGTGGGACTGTGTCAAAAGCCTTGCTGAAGTCCAGGTATATTATTGCAACTCTTAAATAGCAATGAAAAAAAAGCATGTGAATCATTCACACTGAATGTCTTTTAGATAAGTGTTTGAAAAGGGAATGACTGGGAGCACCTGTGCCCAACATCTTGTGCCTCATGCCCTGACAGTGGAGAACCACTGATGCATCTTGGTGCGATTGCACATGCTGCAGTTCTTCGGCTGATAGCCTAATAAGTGATACATCAGACTAGATATATTAATTGAATTCTGATCTGAATGTGATGAGTTGATTAATCATAAGCAGGTATTACATTTGTATTTAACATGAAGCAATATTTTGCTGCTGTTTCACATGTTGATAAGGCCTCAACTGGAGTATTGTGTCCAGTTCTGGGCACCACATTTCAGGAAAGATGTGGACAAATTGGAGAAACTCCAGAGAAGGGCAACAAAAATGATTAAATGTCTAGAAAACATGACCTATGAGGGAAGATTGAAAAAAATGGGTTTGTTTAGTCTGGGAAAGGGAAGACTGAGAGGGGACATAACAGTTTTCAAGTACATAAAAGATTATTACAAGGAGGAGGGTGAAAAATTGTTCTTGTTAAGCTTTGAGGATAGAACAAGAAGCAATGGGCTTAATTTGCAGCAAGGGAGGTTTAGGGTGGACATTAGGAAAAAATTCCTAACTGTGAGGGTGGTTAAGCACTGGAATAAATTGCCTAGGGTTGTTGTGGAATCTCCATCATTGGAGGTTTTTAAGAAAAGGTTAAACAGACACCTGTCATGAATGGTCTAGTTATTACTTAGTCCTGCCTTGACTGCAGGGGACTGGACTAGATGACCTATTGAGGTCCCTTCCAGTCCTACACTTCTGTGATTCTATGATTCTACACTTAACCCAGAGTGCAGTAGATCTAATTGTGCTATTTCTCGTTATGCAATCAGATTATAGGAATTAATGTAAATGCCATCATACCCCTAGTGACTCCCATTAGTCTTAACTCACACTATTGTGCCAGAGATTTGGAATGAAAATCAAAGGTAGGTAATGTCAGCACTTCTTCAGCTCTTTTCTTGTTAAGAGTCAATGAACTTCCATTTGTTTTGGGTGATGTCCACATTATAGACTCTGCTTAACAGTGACCCATGTCACTTCTTCTTTTCTTTGCTTGTTCTTTCTTGATATTTCCACTTGGATTCGTATATACACATAGATTACATATGGTTGTCATCTATATATATTATGACCAGTGAGACCTCAGTCCATGTTGCATATACTTGACTATTCATGGGACTGAGGATTTACTGGTCAGTTTTATTTTGCTTTTTAAACTAGAAATTCATTTTCCAGTTCAGCTCCAAAGTAGAAATTCTGCTGCAAAATCATAAGTTATCCACTTAACTGAAGTTTGCATTGATTTGAACCCAGAATGTCAAATGTGTTTATTGTAATAGTTCTAGTTTATTTATTTTTAATATATATGTGGTTACATTTTCTACCTTACATTGTTCATTTCTATTGTGGAATATTTAGCATTTTAAGACTGTAATAATTTTTTTTAAGCAGTTGGATATTTTTTGTCTTTAAAATGTTTCTTTTTCTTCCACTCCTTCCTGCTGTTACTATATTACATTTGGAGAAACAGTTTTCAGTCTATCAGGTTTTTCTTTTCTTGTAACAGTTTTACACATTTTATTACATTGATATAGTCTAAATAAAAGTTTGTTGGTGAAACTATAACGTTGTATTCATGTTCTGTTGAATTCACTGTGGTCCCTATTCTTTGAGGAGCTAAGCAATTACAGGAAATAGAAAGTACTCGGCACCTACCAGGCTTGCACCCTACTCTTAAACTATTTGGGTTTTTCAAAGAAGTCGATCTATCTGTGGAAAACACAGACCAACTTCCACTTACTAAATAACCCTGCTTTGTGGGTGAACAAACTAATCACCTTACACAAAAGTGCTGAGCTGTATTTACAAAGAATTAAACTCCCTGGGGCAGATCCTTCACTGTTGATATCATGGGGGTATTAGAGTAGAGACTTTGGCTGAGAGGCAATGTGGTATAGTGGACAGAGCACTTGGCTGTGATGCAGGAAACCTGGCTTCTATGCTTGGCTCTGCCAGTGTCCTGCTGTGACCTTGGGCAATTCATTTTATCTATCTTGGCCATTTAGACTGTAAGCATTTGGGGGCAGGGACTCTCCTACTATCAGTATGTATACAGTGCCTCAGCCCTGATCTTGGTTGGGGCCTCTAGGCCATACCATAATACTAGTAATAAATAATAATTCCAGCAGCACCTTAATTATTGTTAAGGTTGAGTTGTTTTGTTCTTAAAGCAGGGATTCAACCTTTTAGTTATGTAGTATGACAAATACAGTGTATTCTCTCCAAAGTTACATTTACTGAGTACTGAATGAATTTTTTTGAATACTTACAAGTAAATCTCTCAGAATAATTTTTTTAAATGGATCCTTTATGAAACTCAGCATTCAATGTCAGATATTTTTGTCCCAAAAGCTCACAGTTAGGCCACTATCTGACTACACAAGAGTGGCAGATACATGAAGCTTGAATACATTTTGTGCAATGGGTCATTTAAAAAAAAAAGGATTAATTGGCTTTTTTCCATTATTCATCATAACTTGAAGTTTCTCCTTCAGCAGAGGCAGAAGAAGTCTCTTTTGGAGCATCTCAAAATGGCTGCTCTCTCCCGTTGTTCTCAGTGGCACTAAGGCCACTGGCTGCCCCATCAAAGATGGCTGCTGCAGGAGAATGGAGTGGGATGCAGGAGGCAGGTGCTGTTTGGGGAAAGGTGTTATGGCAATTTCACAGTTAACTCCTCCTCCTCCTTTAAGGTCTTAACATCTTTTAAAATGTATTTCAAAATTTGCCAGGGAACGGCCAGCCGAACCTCCCATTGTTACTTATTCTTACATTCTTACAGATTCCCTATACTGGTCCAGTCTAACTCTTGGAATTTATAGGAATAGGTGCTCCACAACAGACATGTTACTAAGTACCACCACACACACACAGAGCACAGGCTATGGACCAGCTTGGGGCCATGAACCAATTTTTATTGTACTTTTCTACTTTTGTCCTTATTTTCTTCTGAAAGGTACATCCTAAATCTGCCATATTGCTGTTGTAACACCAAGAGCTATTGCAACAGCCACCAAAACTAGAGAGTTCCTCTCCTCCTATTGTGATCTGCTTCAACCACTGCAGTGGTAATATTTTCATAGTTAGACAATACAGTTCAAGTTAAGCATGTGCTTCAGTGCTGTGCTGGCTCTGCCACCACATCCTCTTGGTATGTGCCTGAAACAAGAAGTAACTGACTTTTCTGGAGGTGGGAAGGAGTTGTGGTTGCCATTGTTCTGGTAGGTATTAATTTCATTACTGCCCCACAGAGGAATTACTCAGAAATATGTTGCGCTTTAATGTACAGTCTCATCAAGTGAAAGTGTTTCAAGTACTTCTTTTTTTTCAGGATTTCCCTCCCCTCCTCCCCCACACACACTGATCTTGTTTGTATTTTCTGGGCAAAACTTATAGCTTAGTTGACTGATCCCCTACCCCTCCCCCCCCCATCATTTTTATTTCCTGTCCCAAAAATGTGAAGGGTTTGAGCATAAGCAAAAAAAAGTGAAGAACTAGAAGACATTAATATTTATGGCACCTGTACCCAGGTGTAGATTTTAAAATTATTAGGAAACTAATGGCAATGGGAGAAAAAAGCATTAAATCAGGACAGTTTCTCAAGAGAGGACACTTTAGAGAAGTTATATATTCCAAAACACACAAACTTTAATTTACATGATGGAGAGAAACAAAAATATCCACATTGCACATTTTTCTCTAGCAATAGAGTTGTAATAGAAAAGGGAAACAGGGATGTCTCTATGGGATAGACTCTACCTGAACTATTTCTTTTAACTGTAGTGTATATGACCATTCATACAAAAACATGCAAGGGGTTAAGAAACATTATTTATTTCTTCCTTTTGTACAACCAGAGATGTCACTTTAGACTTTTAAAATAAATAAATCTCAAACTCATTTATTTCTGGCTATTAAAATTCCCTTCACAGTGGCTTCTTGCCTTCTTAGTTTGATTTCACATAGAAGGACCTGAGATGGAGCAGGCTTCATATAAAAGTAGGGCCTCAACACAAATTGGAGACAAAAATGAAAACCGGCATTATGTATAGAGATTGTTGTACATGATGTACTCATGATAACCCAGTGATCACACATTTACAGAGATTTACAGCATACAAAGTATTCAGTGTGGCATGTTTTTACAGGAAGGGTCTGGCAGCCATGTTTGTGCAATTTAAATCACAGTGATTGGAGAAAGAGGCTTAATATACATTGTACAACACAAACACATGGTGAAATGAATGTAGCTGAGATGATCTGATTAGTTCAATTCAGCTCCATGGAATTTATTTTACAAATGTATCAAAAAAAAAAAGTAACAGCTACAACTGAGATATACAAACCATTCTGTTTTTTTTATTTAGTTGATGGGAGGGAAAGGAAGAGGGGGAAGAAGTGACTGGGAAAGGGCTTTATTTATTTTTAAAAGAAATTGGTTTAAGACAACTGCCTTGTTATCTCCAAGGGTCAAGAGAGAGCCAAAGGGTCTTGCCTGTGTAGTTTTGTAAGCACCATCATTCTAATTTTGGTTGCCTTTTTGTAAGAACGTACAAACAATGTGTTAAAGTATGTCCTGTTGAAGCCTTGGATGCTAGGTTTCTCCTCCTTATTTGGTAGGTTTCTCCTCCATTTTTTTTATTGTCAGCTGTACGTGCAGAGAGTAAACTGATACTAACATTTCACAGCACTTGCATTGCACTTTCATGGCCCTTTCACGTTCTTACCAGCTCTCTGTCCAGCTTGCACTGTGCAAGATGATGGCTCACAATATCCCGGAGGACCAGCAGGACCTGGAGGACCAGGTACTCCAGGCTGACCAGCCACTCCTGGTGGGCCTCGTTCACCATCACGACCTTCCCTTCCATAGCTGGGTTTGCCGGGTTCACCTGGAAGAATGGACATATATGTAAACAGAAGCACTACATGGCAGGTATAAAATGTGGATTGTTTTATTTAAAGTTTGGTTTTGTTCTTAAGTGACTGTGAAAATAGCTTTGTGGGGTTCCATGTTTACTCTGTGAATTCTGTATAAAATGTGTTCCCTTTACACATTAAAATATGTTTCTCTATTAGCCATTCCTCCAAACTCAACCTGAGCTTGGTTGGGTTCTCACATATTACAAGCAATAAAGTTTCCATAGGCCAAATTCTCCCCACAGTTACCTCTGTCCAGCTCCACGGCCATCAGTGGTGTTGCAGTGTTAATGATTAGAACCTAGTGAACAGTTCTGTTGATGATGCACAAGAAGGATACAATCCAGGCTGTTAACTCACTAGAACTAACAGGAGTAAGAAGCACTAACAAATTATGTTTTGTACTATAGTCAGATGTGACTCTCAATACACACAGGGAGCAGATCTGTTGAGTAGCAAGGTGCATTTTTATGTATTTCTCCTTAAATTGTCAATGAATTGATTAAATAATAAGCAATTTCTGTAAGTCTCTTCAAGTGGTACATTTATATTATATAAACTGAGGTTTTCAGACATCCCAGACATCTGTGTTTGCTAATAAGTGAAACTATTATCCCTGTTACACAGAGAAGGACATTCATTGGCTTATATCCATACATATACTCAGAAATGTGCTGGAGAGAGAATTTGTTATATTGAAAATTAATGTACCTCTTCATTTAACCACTAGAGGGCGGTTGTGTTACATTTCTGAGCATGAATCTGGGTTCTGGAATTCTGTGACACAACATGGCAATTAATGACCACAAAAGTAAAGGAGAACTGTAATTTGAAGCCCCAAAATTGTAAACAGAGGCTTTGAGGACTCCACTGTTGCTGATGGGTAAGATTCTTTCATTTTTGTGGTTGTCATTATGGGAATTGCATATATGACATTTTTTGATTTACACACACTGGTCCCAATCCTGATCCCATTGAAACCAATGGGAGTTTTGTCATTGACTTCAATGGTAACAGGATCAGGCCCAGGCCCATTTCTCTTACTATGATGATGATAATTCTTGTTCATGACAGTGTAACTGTTTATATACAATATAAAAATACAGACATACAGCTGATTCCTTAACAAATGCCTGCACTTGAATTTTTTCAAAATAATAATGTCAATTCCTCCCCCCCCCACCTCCATCTTCCCCCCTTATATATTCCTCTTATCACCTCCATACACCCCTGAATATTTACCTGGAAGACCTGTTGTTCCAGGTAAGCCTTTGGGTCCTCTGCCTGGAAATCCTCTCTCCCCCTTTTCACCAGCTTCACCTGAGGTAAATTAATGAAATGTCATTCACAGTCTGTGCAAAGCAGTTTTTTCTACCTCAAGGCATTTAACTATCAGGACAACTGACTCGAGAAGGGGAGTTTAGCAGAGGACTCACCTAGTGAGGTGCAGAGCAAGCATGTCTGAGTGATGGCCTGACTTACATTCTTTGCAACTTCTGCTGGTGAAAGAGAAAAGCTTCCAAGCTACACAGAGCTCTTCTTCAGGTCTGTGTAGTTCAAAAGCTTGTCCCTCTCATCCAGAGTTGCTGGTCCAATAAAAGACATTACCTCGCCCAGCTTGTCTAATATCCTGAGACCAACTCAACTACAACAACACTGCAAACAACAATGAATTATATTCTTGTAAAAATTCAATGTGGATTCAGCATATTACTATCCACAGCAGTTACACTCAAGGGCAGACACATTAAAAAAAATATTTTCCCTAAAATGACAATTGGATTATGCTATGTTTCATATAGTGCCACCCAATATAACTTGAGAGAGACTAGTCAAAAACAAAACATGAAGGACAAAACAGGCAAGCCATTTTGGGGGAAAGGCTGAAGTAGCTGGTGTAGGGGCCTTATTACGCTACATGAGCTGGACTACAAAGTACAATAGTTCTCAGGTGCTGGGTCCTGGTTTGTGCATGACTGCTTTGGATGTCATGGCTCCACATCCTAGGGCAGCAGAAAAAGAAGCCCATTCTTATTAGAATGTTCTCTGACATCCAAACTGGGTTTTATTAGGCACCTAAAAGAATAAGGAATGCAGCAGCCGGAGCCCCGGATCCTTTTAAATCGCGCCGGAGCCCCGGGCGGCGGGGGCCAGGCAGCACGGCTGGGCTGGCTGGGGGAGGCTGACCCCCCAGCCCCTCCCCTTCCACCTGAGGCCCCACCCCTTCTGGGGGCCAGAGTTGGCCCCGTACCGGTAAAAATTTATTATTACTTTCACCCCTGAGTGGGAGCTTTAAAATCTTTGCTACTTTGACCATCTGGATTAAATGCTGTCCACCCCATATAGAGTCACTGTAGATGTTTTCATCCTCTTTTGAAGAGGCCTATGCAATCCCTTGGCATTCTGAAGCAGATAGAAAGTTAGTAGTTTAACCCTTGAAGTATAAATCTAATAATGTTTGAGAAAGTTTAGAATAAAAACTAGAATGGTTTCTTTTCTTTTCATGGTCCTAACTCGCTACAGCCAGTATGGTGAGTTTGACTGAATAGCCAATTATCACTTAGTTAGAAAGGGCACAGCAGAAACTTCTTGGGAAGTCATTTGAGCTGATGCTGTTGAGATAGCACACATGTTTGAGTATCCATTGAGGATGCCGAATGTGTGCTACAGGAGGAAGCTGCTATCTCTAAATTTCAGAGAAGATTACAGCTGCCCACGCCACTTGGAAACTAACCCTGTCCTGGTAATTACAGCATCAGGGAGCCTTGATGTCACGTTACCCATATATATTTTAGTACTCCAAACTACTGCAAACTTTGGAATAGTGTTTACTGCCAGTTATAGACACACGCCTCTCCTCTTTGCACTAAACTCCTTGAGTGTATCATTTACAGCTGCACCCTCTGATAATTTTCCTCCAGTTTTCTTTCTGACCTGCTTCAAAGTGGCTTTCGACTGCATTTCCATTTCTGGCTTCCTTCATTCCACCAAAGTTGCTCTCACTAAAGACCTCCTCCCTCAGACTCAATCGTCTCAACCCTTGACACAGCTGATCACTCCTCACACACTCTCCTTCCAGATTTCCATTGCATTGTGCTCTCACCTCTCTGACTATTCTTTTAGCGTGCTCTTCCATGGCTCCATAGTACTTGGCGACCCTGCTTGGACCTCATTTCTTTTCTCTTTTGACTCTCTTCCTGGGTGACCTCTTCCAATCCCATGGGTTCACCTCTCTGCAAATAGCTCCCAGCTATACCTTCCCAGTCCTCACTTTTCCCCCTGCATTCAGGACCTCGTCTTTGTATATCTCTATAAACTCTCGTTTACCACTATGCATTCAGATGGTAACACCGATTCTCAGAGCAGGAACCTGTTATTTGTTTGGCACAGTTTGCCTGCTGCAGAACACCATGTACCCTTTTGGCATTTATTAATAAAATAGTGCTAGAAGGCAGGGATTATCACGTTCAGAGCCGTACTGTGTATTTAGTTCAGCTCAACGGCAGCATGTAATTCTTCTGCAGAATCATTTTTTCCTTGACAGCAGTTAAAAACTCTTTCCATCTTCCAAAGCCAAAGCACTTAGTATTTATCTGTGTTTCTAAGGCATTGATCATCTTGGTGTCTAGGTGCCAAAGTAGATACAGACTGAAATGTCTCAGATAGCTCCCCTTAACAAACATCATCAAAATGCTCCTGCAATTCCAGTTGTTTAGGTTGAACTGAAGCCTCTGCAGCAGCTTTCCCTGAACTTATCTCACTTTCCTACCCTAGTTCTCTTGCATTCAAGTGCAGAAAAATTACCTGACTGTTACATGCAAAGAAACCTTTCCGTAAGGGTTGGTCCAAAGCACAATTACTGACAAATGTACACAATTTCAGGTGATGGCTGTTTTACAGCCTAAAAAACACTCTTTACTAGAAAAACCCTTGCATGGGATAGGACATATACTACCATTGAGGTATTTAGAAATGCACCCACAAATTTACCAGAGGGTAACATGGAATCATGGCGTTATGGGAAGTTGCTTTTTCTAGTTGCTGTTTTTCATTTATTGGTTGTGCTTAAACTTTTTTTTCTTGTATTTTATAACAACATTTTTGGCCAAGTAAAGAGTGTTCAGTATGTGAACCTTTGTGCCTCTATTTTTTTTCTGCTTTGTAAGAAGAGAATGTGGGTGAGACTACATTATATATTCATAGATTCCTAGGCCAGAAGGGACCACTGTGATCATCTTGTCTGACCTCCTATATAACACAGGCCATAGAATTTCCTGAAAATAATTCCTTGAGCCATTCCTACATTAATGTAGCTGCAGATCTCTAGCACCACTGTAATTAAAGTTTGTGTTTTCCTTGTATACTGTACCTCTCATCAGGGTTTTATATGATTTTGCTTTTGACAAAAACTAACACTCCAATCCTGTTACCCAGAGGGTTTTACAAGGGAAGAGAATTTTTAAAAGGATACTGTTGCTGCCCTTATTCAAGAAGGAGAAGAAAAAAAACCCACTGCTGGCTGGAAATAGAAATAAGTACTTTAGTTTTGCAGAAAATTTCCCCCAACCATCCTCTGAAGGCAAAACCCCCTGTCAGTCAGGAACAAAAAATTATTAATTTAGATTAAATAAAGATTTTTAATACATTGGGTAAGCCAATTCCTTAACACAGATTTCACCCTTTCAAAGGATCAATAGATTTTGCAATGTACAGTGCAATGGTGCTGAATTTAGAATTTGGTTATTATAGGAAAACAGTAAGGAAGATTTGTCCATCGATTGTAAACTAAGAGATCTGATGGATTTAAAATGATTGCTGATACTACCGTAAAGTTTAATGAATAAGTGATGTTTGTTGATGAAACATGGCTGGTTTTACATTCAGAGGGAGTATCAGAAGACAAAGAGCACCATCTGTGTGAGCTGCAGGATGAACATACTGGAGGCATGGTAAAAACTAAGCAGATGTAAAGTGACTAGGTAAATAAAAGAGAGAAGACTGTAAGGCCCTGTCTTCACTAGGGGGGAAAATGTATTTTCCTGCTAGTTCTTCCTCCTACTGTTTATCTCAACTTACTAATGTATGAAAGGCCAAGCTGCCTTGTCCATCCTAGGATTTTACCATGTATTAGTTACCACTGGTGTGGACACACCCCAAGTGGGGGGAAGCGATATAGTAAATGGGTGTGAGGAGGGTTCTAAGGATTAACTAGGAGGCAAGACCCTGCCATTTATTCATGATGGCCCCAATTCAGAAGTCCATCCCTGATCAGCACAGCAGTTAAGCATGTGGTTAAGTGACTGGATCACTAGGGTTGGATTTAAGACCAAATGCTTTGCTGAACTGAGGCTTATGTGATCTTAGGCAAGTCATTTTGGGCCAGAGATCTAAAGGTATTTAGGTGCATAGTGGGATTTTCAGAACCACTTGAGCATCTGGGTGTTAGGTGTTAGGCACCTAAATACCTTTAAAAATTTGGCCCTTAGTCCCTCAGCCCCTTATCTTTCTATGCCTCAGAGGGTTTGTCTACACTGCAAAATACCACCAGCAGCAAATCTGGGAGGCCGGGTATACAGCCTGGGGCTCACGCTATGGCACTAAAAATAGCAATGAGATGTTCCCAGTTGGACTCTGAAATATAGTGAGGAGGGTGGGTCTCAGAGCCTGAGCTCAAGCCCAAGTGGGAACATATTCACTGCTATTTTTAGTGCCATATCTTGAGCCCCATGAGCCAGACTCCGTAAACCTGGGCTCAGAGATTTGTTGCCACAGGGGGCTTTTTTGCAGTCTAGATGTGCCCAGAGACACTAGAACTCAAGGCTTAGCAGGTTAAAGTAAACAATAAGGAAAGAAAAATTAGAGACTTAAATTCAGACACTTTGCCGGCAGAGAAAGGAGGTTAAAGTATTAATCCTAAAATCAAAGTGCTCAAAGCTTTACGACCCAGATAACTCATGAGGCCATACTCTGTGTTGATTAAATTAGTTCCTTGGAAGGTCAACATCACTTCAGTGTGATTTGATTCCATATTATAAGTAAGTCACCTTACCAAAAAGCAGGCAGCATTTATGCTTCACAAATTAAAAAGCCTATTACAGCTTCTCTTACCTTTTGGACCTTTAAAACCAATCTCACCAGGAGGACCTTTAAGACCTGGCAAACCACGGGATCCAATCTGTCCGGGGAAGCCGTTTTCACCAGGAGGCCCGGGAGCACCTGGTGGTCCAGGTCGACCTGGGAGACCTGTAGCACCAGATTCAGGCCTCCTAAGGCTGGCTGCTAGCTGAGCAAGTTGTTCTGTAAGAAAGAAACAGGAAGGGAGAAATTAAGAGACAGACCCTAAATTAGTTGAGCACTAAGTGGCTTTCCCAAGAGTGTAAAGAGCATTTTGTATTTGATTGTCACTAAGGAAAAGGATAGCTGACATACAACAAATACTGTACCATGGAAGCTGTTAGAGAAGGATGATGCACATGACATCACACAATGTTTCTACAGGGCATTTTCCATAAGCCATGACATAGGAGGCTTCTGTGAGCCAGTGCTGTCAATAGCAAGCTGCTTACTATATACGTATCCTACAAAGTAGTGTCTTGTGCTTTTTGAACCTCACGCTCGAAACATTTTGTGGCTGTGAGAATCTAAAATGATCTAAATAAATTATATACATTGTAAAATGTCTATATGTAAAATTAATTAAATAGAAAATAAGAGTGCCTCTTTAAAGGGTGGGTGGGTTTCAATTTTACTGTAGTTAATGTTAGGATCTGGCCTCAAAAGAAAGGGCATATAAAGAATACCAAAATAAGGAAGAAATATATCATCCTGCATATAATGCTAAGTCAAGACATGGCTCATGAGGTAATTAAAGAGAGCAGCTCCTAAACCCACATTTTCAGGGGGAAATACTCAAATTTGCACTTAATTTGCCATGACAATGTGCATAAATTCAATTTGTAAGTGTGCATGAATTTTTCTGCATGTTTCAAATGGTTACTTGTCTCATTAAAGTCAATGGCAAAGCTCTTTTGATTGTTATAGAAGTAGGATCAGTTCCTCAACATTCCTTAGAATGGCCTCCACAGACTACTTCCTCGTCCTCCTTTTCTTTCAAGCCACTGCCATACTCATTCTAGTGGCAGTGGTCCCCTTTTCAGACTATTCAGTTCTCTTCTTCCGTCCAGAGATCCTCGCCTACATTTAAAAGCCATTCCTAGGCACAGTCAGTCCCAATTTTGTGACAGACAGTCTGTTTTTCTTGGCTAAACACTCTTCTCAACAGGAAAGGAACACAGAGATCCTAGAATGTGTAAGCACATGATTCCAGTAGGGACAGGAAGGTACTACAGTATTGGGAGCCTGGGGACAGCTGCATAGAAGGCAGGATACAATATGTAGGTGAGAGAGACATTTGGAGCGTGAAGAGCTGGGCTTCAGGCAGTTGTCTTTAAACAAGGTGGGTTTCAGGAGCAATGTAGTTTGGATATGAATATTTGAAAGGTTTGAGTGTTGTTTGGAGAGGTCTGAATGGGTACAATGGGACAATACAGATTTTTCCAGATCATTTTATTCATCACTAGCTGTGATGCCTGTAAGTATATTCCTCAAGTTCTAGGGCTGATCTCATTATAAGCCTCTTCCATGGCCCTGTATTTTCTACCTTTCAAGAGAACACTTCTTTTAGAAAGGTCCTTTAATACTGGTAACGGACAGATCAAAATATTGTGTTGCTAGAGCAATCAAATCTGAAATGAAATAAGATAATACCCTGTTGGGCAGTTTCAAAAAAAACTGTTGAGAATTTTCAAATTAAATAATAAAGAACAATGATGTCATCCCGGTAAATGATAGCCTAATTTCCAAAGGGCATCTTCTATTCTATGGCAGACATCTAAAAATCTCTTTGATGCTTCAAGGACGGTATAAATGTTTAGACTCAAATCCCACCAAACAAATAGAGTTAGGGGATTGAATATTTGCCCATGATTTTCACTTTGACATGTCACTTAATCCTATAAGTCCCCTACCATCTCTCTACATTTATATATATATATATTGCAAGTGGATGGCTGAATGTTATAATTTAACAGTGAACAAGTACCAATGGCAAATCACATTTTCAGTGCAGGCAGTTACCATCATATTTAAAGCACAGTGATTTCAGATTATGCAAAGTTTACTTTTTTTTTTTTCATAAAAACACTTTCCAGTCTTCAGTTACCATAGTAATAGCAGGGAACTGCAGGGAACTCTCTGCACAAAAGAACTGGCAATTCAATGGGCTGCAAAGGACTGTTTGATAGATAAGAGATGTTCATTTTTCTGTAATATGGGTGGGATTGGCTGTCTCAGGTCCTCAAGCAGAGGCAACCCTCTCTGTATCCATCTCCCTTTTCTGTACAAAAGTAGGAAGGCTCAGACAACCCCTTGGCACAGTTGCTCCCACCTGCAGAGGACACTCTGTGGGTCCTGAAACCTTGATAGGGAAAGCTGGGGCCTAGGCAGTAGTTGGTATGAGGGGATAAACATTGTCCCCTCCCAGATGTAAGGAGAGTCTACAAAAAAGATAATACAGGCTTTGGGGCAGCCATGGCAGATGGTCTATGCAGTTGGCTACAAGGCTCTGCAGGGATCTGTGCCTGCTCCACAGGGGAGGGCAGAGATAGTAACCCCTTCCCCAATGGGACCATAGTGGAGGAAATCTGTGAGGGAATCATGATAGTGATTTCTCCTGGGGTGCAGGGGTTCCCATGAGAGGCTGTTCTCCAGCTCTTGTTCTAAAATTCTTACCAATCAATATCCATTGTGGATAGAGAGCTGGATCCTCTCCTAAGCTCTGGCTGCTTAAATAGCTGCCTGGGGATTCCCATTGTGTAAGTGGGATCCGCAGGACATGTAGAGTCAGCATAGTAGCTCTAACCCACCTCTCTTCCCCGGACTGGGGTGGGGGGATGGCATATCTGAGGAAAGGGAGAGTGTCTGAAGCACTGCTCTGCTCTGGCTATCCTTGGCTGATGGAAAAGTTCCATGGAGCTGTGAGCATCCGGGAGCAGGTCAGAGCAGCTCTGAGGCTGCTCTTATGCTGGGAGTGGGACCAGCCTCTAGTCAGCCGCAGAATCAGGTTAGCGTAAAGGTGGTTTAAAGCTGTCTTTCCTCCCCACCTCCACATTCGGGTCCTACACTGTTAGACTGCAGCATCTGGCCCACAATGATGGTTTTTTTTCAAACCACAGTTTAATCCACTCTCCAATTTAATAAATAGAGATGCAAATTCCTGACATATAAACAGGTTTGGCAGAATTTGATTTTTATTTTCTTTATAACTTTGATGGATAATATCACTGGTTATTTTAATGTGGGTTTTTTTTCTATTTTTCTCAATTTAGATTTTCACAGTTGTGCAAATTATGGGATATAAGAATTTTTTATCTATTTAAATTTTCACATTTGCAGGAACTTATGAAAGGGTCTGTTATATTAGTTTTGATGGAATATATGGACCAAAGGTGTTAACATTATTTAGTTACTGTCTAACATTAAACAATGTAAACAAGGTTCAGGGTTTGATGCACAGAAACTTTAGCTTGCTTAGTACTATGGAAAACACACCATTTTTTAAACCTTTTATTAAAGATACAAAGAAGAAGGAAAAACAGTTAAAGTATTTGACATGTAAAAGTATCAAGTAAGGCTTTTATTTTAACAACATTCCTTGTTCCCTTTCCCTTTAGCTGGAAGGAGTTTCAGAAGGAAAAACCTTCTTATTTGACAGTCTCTTGGACGGTATCCAAGATGGTAGTAACTGGTTTTTGGGTAAAAGAAGAAATTAGTTGAGATGAGCAAGAGCTGCTGCTGCTGTTCAAGTCTGATTCTGTTTTATTCTAGGTGGTGTCTGGGATTTAGCTGGAGCCAGTAGAGGTGGTGATGTTATTTGGGTTCCTTTTTTTGGCCTGGTTTGGGTAGGGAGTTTTTCAGGATTAGAATGACGAAGGCCTAGGGTTCCAAGAGATGGTAGGGTGGCAGAAATGATGGTGAAGCTTGCTTCAATAGTTTCCATCTGTTTTTACATCTTTTTTACCGCAAAGTCTCTTTTTTTAAAGACCCAAAAAACGCAGTGATGGGTAGAATAGCCCATCCCCTCATTTTGTTTACCAATTAGGCCTAATATATGACATACCAATTATTAATTTCTGGTATTATATGTTTTGTTTTTACTAAGTATGATTTTAACATAGTATTTGAACCATATTAGTAGGCCCTTTTGTTAGAGTTAATTCGGTCTTTCTTCTTTTCATCCCTTTTTTCATTAACATTTGTTATTACAGGTTATTATGACATTTTATGAACTTTTACATACTTTTACAGTTGAGCTTACAATTAGGGTAAATTTTTAGGCCTAATTATTGCAACAAGTCATATAATAATTATGTAATAACAAGAGGTGGTGACATTCAAAAAGTTAAAGTTTTATAACCATTAAAACACACTATCCGCATCACATGTCACATATACCAAGTAAATATTCTTAAATCAAACTCCAATAAGTTCTCAAGCAGCATTTTTTTGAATTTTGCCTATCTGTAAATTTCGATTATTAGCAGTGGAAATATTTTTGGTGGTTTGTGGGTGTACAGTGAAATTGACACTTACTGATAAAAAACAAATCTAATGCTTCCAAGTGTACATATAAATGCAAACTCTCCCCTCAGTGATGACAGTAATTAGCTTGATGTAAACCCCAAGACAGGCAGAGTTATACCAGAGAACTCCATAGGGCTGCATGGGTTTCGGGGGCGAGGGGGCAGGATTTGACTCTACAAATATAATTTTACATTGTTTTGGACACAATGAGCCTATTTGGCAATTGTTTTGTTTCTAAAACAACGGGGGCCCAATACTGCTGGACTTAGTCCACAATTATTTGCATGAAAACAGTCTCTGCTTGATAAAGCCCCGAATTCTGCCTCCATTTAGTCCCTGCATTGGTCAATGGTATTGCACAGGGTGTAAGTGAGGGGAATGTTTCTTTTATTGGTTATTTTCATTGGAAAGCATTCAATCCAAGAAAGAGTACAATGAACTAATCCAAATTCTACTTTCTTTACTCCAGGGAGATCAAACTCATTCTGTATATGGGAACAAGTTCAATTTTTAATAAATGTTACAGCTTTAGAAGCACCCTTAGTCCACAGCTGAGCTCTGAAGACAGTACAGAGTTTGCATAAAGATCAAGGGCACAGGATGGCCTTTGTGTAATAATTATATATTATCACAATTGTTTTCTCTTTGCTCAATAGCTTTTGTGACAGTTAATATCACTTAGTGGAAAAATGGGCTCAACTTTAGGACCACTATTATTTCTGGTATTTATTTCTCTTCCTTCCCTTTCTCTATCCCTCTCCTTTGTCACCTCTTTTCTTCCCTTTGCATTTTCTTCCTTGCGGCAATTCCTGCTTTCCTATGTGCTGTACTCCCACCCCTCCCTTATTCTTTCTGCTAAAATGATCAGCAATCAAATAGTTAATGGTGACATTTAAAATGTCATCATCAGACACCCCCCTAAAATAAATGGAACAGGAGTGATTGTTCCAGGTTCTCTGTGGACTCTGGGTTAAACTTGCTTCACACTGGAAGATTATCTTTGCAAGTAGGAGGGCTAGAAACTTACTTTTTTAAAAAAAATCAAAGCTTAGATTCTGCAGAATCTGAATACGTCAAATGGATCACACTAATACATCAAGGAGGCTGGATCCAACCAGCGGACTGGTGTTTGACACCCCTGCTTTAAATGCACAAGAAAGATTAAACATTGCAATTATTTACCTTGCATGACTCTCATGCAGACCTGTTTAATGTGCTGATCTGTTGGCTCTCTACCCTGGGATAAAAATATTTAATAGCAGTTAATATACAGTAGTTATTTATAAAATGAGAATGTAATTAAGACGCTGGCTGGCTGATGATAAAAGTTCCAGCCCTTCAACCTTACACATATGACTAGTCCCATTGAAGTCAACGGGAGTATCAGTGTATGGACCACTTTTGTGATCTTGATACACACACATACCACAGGAATGCATGCAGTATAAGAACATGAATAGAAAAAGTCAGGCTGCAGACTGAGTACCATAGGTTCCAGCTATTCAGATATGTGACATTACTACATTGTAGCCAATTGTCACATGAATCATAGTAATATGGGGCTGGAAGGGACTTTGGGAAGACAAGTCCATCCCCTGCACTAGGGCAGGACCAGATAAACCTAGACCATCCCTGACAAGTGTCTGTCCAATTTTAAAACCTCCAATGATGGGAATTCCACTATCTCCCTTAGAAGCGTGATCCAGAAATTAACTTCCCTTAGAGTTAGAAAGTTTTCCTAATATCTAACCTAAATCTCCCTTGCTTCAGATTAAGCCCATTACTTCTTGTCCTACCTTCAATGGACATGGAGAACAATTGATCACAGTCCTCTTTATTACAGCCCTTAACATATTTGAAGACTTATCAGATTCCCTCTCCCCCGGTCCTCTTTTCTCAAAACTAAATATGCCCAATTTGTTTTAACCTTTCTTCACAGGCCAGATTTTCTAAATTTTATCAATTTTGTTGCTGTCTTTTGGATTCTCTCCAGTTTGTCCACATCTCTCTTAAATGTGGAGCCCAGAACTGGAGATAGCACTCCACCTGATGCTTCACCAGTCCCAAGTAGATTGGGACAATTACCTCCCATGTCTTACATATGACCCTCCTGTTAATACACCCCAGAATATTAGCCTTTTTCATAACCGCATCACACTGTTGACTCATATTCAATTTGTGATCCACTATAGCCCCCAGATTCTTTTCAGTAGCACTACCACCTATAAAGGAATAATGTATTCCAGAATGTGTGGGGTGTTTGAAGTCACCTGGGCTTCATGCGCATGTCCCCAAACCACCAGCAGCAAACACATCTCCATTATAACTACATACCTTGTTGTATGTGGTGTTTGAGAGACAGAAAAATCTGTGTAACATAAAAATAGCACTTACTGCTGGACCCTGGCTGCCAGGCAGACCTGGAGCACCTTGTTCACCTTGCAAACCGCGAGGTCCAGGTGAGCCTCGTAGCCCTTCTATGCCAGGCAGTCCACGACTTCCTTCAGGTCCACGAAGGCCAGGCTCACCAGGGTTACCAACCTACAAATGAGAGACAGTGACTTTGTATGACTGCATTTTTGCAATACAAGCCATACACTATGTTTCTGCAGGAACAGATATGCCGTGTGCAGTGCCTACGCTTTCACATTGCTTACTATGAAAGATGATGGCCACCTCTGTCAAATTCTGTTGGCTATTGTTTGACTCTTTGTTTTTGTTAAAGAAAAATATCCTTTCTGTTACAAAGGGAATAGCATGAGGGAAGGGATGCACTAAAATCCAGAATAAAAGAAGGGTTGGTTAGTGGATTATAAAACTTTCTATTATACATATCAGCCCACATTATTTTAAGAGCTGGATGCTCCTCTGTGCAGGGTGAACCTGCATAGGGAAGTTGAAACTCTATGGGTAAAATCCTGGCCCCATTGAAGTCAATGGCAAAACTCCTTTTGACCCCAATAGGACTAGGATTTTACCACTTGTGTTTAAACTCTCATATAATTTTTTTCTGATTCTTCCTTCACAGATCGGGGTGGATCTTCAGAGACAAGGGGCTTGTGCATGGAGACATTAGGCCTTCACATTGTCACTTGTTTCCCCAAGCGTCTTGCCTCCAATGGGATCCCTTCACCTGCATCTGTCCCTAGAACAGCAGAAAGGAGGTAAGCATTGTAACTTACTGAAGACTTTCTCTGCAGTAACTGGCACCACATTCCTCCATAGGAAGGAAAATCCCACAGAGAGCTCTCATCCCTTCCTACCCCGTGGACTCCCAAGGAGGAGCCTCTGCAGTGTCAGGGAAGGAAGGGGAACGTACCATTGTGCTGGCACTGCCCTTTCTGCGGTAGCCAAGCTCAGCTTGGTGAGTACAGGCTACTGTAGTAGGGTCCTGTGAAACCCACATGTAAGGATGAAAAGTCCCCAGACTAGCCACACTGCACAAAAAGACAAGTAATGTGCCTTTTAGGAGGGGAGCGTTCAATCATCCAAGGATTTGTTCTCTTTGTGCCAGGGCAGAGCCACTGAAGCAAGCACACATGGTGTTCTGAGGACTTCAGCATCTTCATCTGGGGGAACAATTATTTCCCCTGACAATGCAGCCCATAAACTGATTGGAAAGAGATACTTGTAAAACAAGCCCTTTTCTGCCACTTGACAGGCCCAGGTAGTCACCTCCACAATGCTATATTACTTATTCAGAGTCCCTGAAGCAGAACTAATTTTTTTATTAAGCCTTTGCACAAATCCTATAATATTAAATATTTAAAAGTAGCCTATGAACCAAAAAGGCCATAAACTAAGGCAGATTGAAGCATCCCATTTTGTAATCTATAAATATAAATATTAGATATGCTGAAGAAAGGTAATCAAAGTGCATTTAAGCTGCAGCCTCATGACCATAAGGAAGAAGCTTTACTGAAATCTTTTAGCTTTTCAAAGAAACAGAAATTAAGCAGTTGGTGTTAATGGCCACAGCTCTTTACACTCACTGAATGAAAAGGTGCAAGGATCTTGCAATAGCCATCTTTGCAGCAAAGTAAAAGCTGCATTTGTTTAATAAGAAAGTCTGGCTTGCAAGTCTGTCAGGGGTCTTGCATTCTTCCATCTCAGCCACCTGAGCTGTAGGAAGGCAATAGGCATTTGCCTGAAATTTTTTCTTCTGATCACATGGGGCTGCTGTGGTGTCTGCTGATCAGGCAACCAAGTGCTTCCTGGCTTGTTGCTCCCTCTGCTGAGCACAGCCAGAAAGGAGCAGTGAGAAGAGGAGGAAGTGGCAGCACAAGGACAAAGTGAGGGACCCAGCACTGGCTCCTGCATCCTCCTGCAGCTGCAACAGCCTCCCCCATCACGTTGCCCCAGCTAACTGCTCCTAAGCAACCACCAGCAGCTAACTAACTCTAGCTGCCCCAGCAGTCACCTATCCAGCTACCCAACACAACCTTCCCGTGTGTGGGGTCTCAGCCTGGGCTCCATCCCAAACTCAAAGATTTATACAGCCATTTTTAGCCCTAGGGCTAGAGCCCCTTGAGCCCAGGTCAGCTGACCTAGGCCAGCCGCAGCCATACCATGCATTGTTTACTGCAGTGTAGATGTACCCTCTGTGTCTCAGAGAACCATATATGAGCCTAGATCAGTCGATGCTTGCAGAGTGGTAGGGATGGGACCAGAAGAGTTGCTTTCTATGCCTTTTTAAATAGGTTACTAGAGTCCACAGTGACATAACCATCATATAGCCTTACCTGAAGAGTTCTGTATTCCTGAATTTAGTGGTGAATAATAAACCATTCCACTGACACGGATTAATCAGCATCCATTTTAGGTATGCATATAAGACATTTTTTTGATGCACAACTTTTAAAAGTATATTCATATTCAAATTTCAGGCCAAGTTCTGCCCTAATTCATACCATGTGCAATCCCACTGGAAGAGGGGCCCCAGAAGCTACCCCTAGTAACAAGACAACTGACTTCCCCACCCTGTCTGACCTCCCTCTCTTTTCCAGATGCCTAATACTCCTCTAATGACAAAAGTTCTGACTGCCTTCCAGCTGCTAATCCCTGCAGACCCATCGCCTGGCAACTGCAACAGCATAAGTATGTGCTATCAGCTAATATGAAATTCTGCATAAACATGATATTCTCTGACAGTATGGAACTGGGGGAAAGTTTTGATGGATTTTTTTTTGTAGTGTAGTGAAGTACATATGAATATGCAGGCTCCAGTCTTGCAAACACTTACATATTTGCTAAACTGAATGCACATGAATCAATTGGACTGCTCATATGCTCAGAGTTAAGCATGTGTGTAAATGTTTGCAGGATTAGGGCCTCAGACCCTGATTCTAAAATTTGCTGTACACAGTCAGCTAGGGTTACCATATTTCCACAAGCAAAAAAGAGGACACTGGGGGGGGGGGGGGGGGGGGAGCCCCCCTCTAGCCCCGCCCCTGCCCCCATCCACTCCCTCCCACTTCCTCCCCCCTGATTGCCCCCCTCAGAACCCCCAACCCCCCCCGCTCCTTGTCCCCTGACTGCCCCCTCCTGGGACCCCTGCCACTAACTGCCCCCTAGGACCTCACCCCCTATCTAAGCCGTACTGCTTCTTGTCCCCTGACTGCCCCCTCCTGAGAACCCCCTACAACCCTACCTGTCCCCTGACTGCCCCGACCTTTATCCACACCCCCACCCCATATTCACACCCCCGCCCCCAGACAGACCCCCGGGGACTCCCATGCCCTATCCAACTGCTCCCCGCCCCCTGACAGGACCCCCAGAACTCCTGACCCATCCAACCCCCTCTGCTACCTGCCTGCCTCGACCCCTCTCCACACCCCTGCCCCCCTGACAGCCCCCCCAGAACCCCAGACCCATCTAACCCCCCCGCTCCCTGTCCCTGACTGTCCCAACCCCTCTCCACACCCCTGCCCCCCTGACAGCCCCCCCGGAACCCCTGACCCATCTAACCCCCCGCTCCCTGTCCCTGACTGTCCCAAC